GGGGGGGGGAAGCTGGGGAGATGGCTCAGTAGAATAAGCGCTTGCCTGGCAAGAGCAAGGGCCTGAGTTCAATCCCCGGTTTGGGGGGGGGGGAGATCTGGCCAGGAGGCCTATTTTATTGCCCAATTTAAAGAGACTAGTAAAAAAAGAATTCCTCTCTGAAGAGGAAGCTGGTGTGGAGTGGGCACGCCGTGTGCTCCATCACGGGCCACTGTGTATAGATTTCTTTTTTTTTTTTTTTTTTTTTTTGTGTGTGTGTGTGTGTGTGTATAGATTTGATGTCTGCGAGAATGGCACTCCGGGACCGTGACCAGGTTGTCTGAGCTACGTGCAGTCAAGTGTGCCGGAGGAGGCACACTCCACCCAAGGACTCTTCAGTGCTTGGAAAATCCTCAGTTTTGGATTTAGCCCTGAAAAGCTCCTGACTCTTCAGTGCTTGGTAAATCTGGACGGTGAATCAGCCTGCCTCTCTGCCCGAGCAGGCCCCGAATGAGAAGGCACACAGGCCGTGCCTGAGCCCGGCCCTGCTAGAGGCCCGAGTGCGGAGGAGACTTTGCTGTAGCGGAGGTCTAGACCCTAAAGCTACTGGGGAGAAAATAAAGGGAGTAGGGATATAGTTTTTAAAAAGTGACTGTCTAAATTTTAAACAATTTATTACAGTACAAGACACATTGCATTCATCCCCGTCCCCTTCACGATAGTCCGTCTCGCTGCGAACACCCTTCCTGCTTTCTGAAGCTGTCCTGGAAGTCCCCCTTCATGAGCGCCTTCAGTTGCGCTCCTGTGCTGCCTCCGTGCTTGCGTTTCATCGTCTTTGGAAGAGCCGGAAGCTGCACGGTGCCAGGTCTGCTCTGTAAAGTGGACGCGGACGTGCTGCATGTTTTTGACAAGCTCGCATTTCTGGCAGATGGCGCTTGGCAGCAGCATTCAACACACTTTTGATCTTGCTTCATAAAGACAGTCACAAAAGAGGACTTCGAGAGCTACTTTAGAAAGTGCCAAGAGTGGTCGCTATGTTTGGAGTGAGGGGAGTGTTTTGAGGAGGACTGCAGGCGGTGTGTCCTTTACAGTAATAATAATTTTAAACAGTCATTGTGCGTTTGGGTCTCATCGCCCACTTTGGTGATGGTGGCGAGGTGAGGCGCGCCTCAGGGCGTAGTTTATGCTCACCTCCAGCAATCTGCCCTTTCCCTCTAGAATTCTCGGGGCTTTTTTCCTGTCCTTTCTGGCCTTGGAGGGACCTTATTTCCTATGAGTTCCCATTAGGATCTGATTCAGAGAGGGCTCAGCCCTGAGCTTTCCCGCTTTCCATTTCAAGGCCATTGACTTTTCCGTGGCTCCAAAGTATAACAAAAGCCCAGGTACTGTCCTCACGTTAGAGAAGAGGCACCCAGGACCACACTCTGGAGAGATTCGGGAGCAAGGTGAGGCCGCCCCTCCTCGGCCTCTGGGGCGCCACCTTGGGTTGTGGAGTAAGGCAATCAGCATCCCAAGTTTAGTGCTGAAAATGTCAGGAAGCCATTGCTTGGAATTGAAAGATCCTGGTCTTTTGGCGATGAGTACAGAGGAGGGGAGGGGAAGGGCAAGGTGGGCACAGTGTTAGAGGTGGAGCAGCAGCAGCGTCTGGTGTCCGGTGCGGATGGTGTGGATCAGAAACGGTCCACTTGCTGGCCTTGGTGTGGCCTGTCTTTCCCCGGATGTTCTTATTGAGGGACTGCAATCCTTACTTCAGGAAATACACAGCTACTGAGACATACTACCTACCTAATGATTCATTAAATAGGACAAAAAACTTAGAATTTTCAACCAATCTTACTGGCTTTAAATGATGTGAACTACAAATAATACTAAGCTAATTTCTGTCATTACTTTCAAAATTTAAGTTTCTAGAAGTTCTATTTTTATTCAATACAAAAATTGTTGGGAGTGGCTGAGACTGAAAATTGGTCACATGTGTGAGGGCAGGACAAAGCCTCAGTGCCAGAGTCAGTCAGGCTGCCTCAGTCCTGAGAAAAGCATCCTGCCAGGAGTAGTTCAGCTTTTAGTTGCTAGGCAACCTTGTGTCATGTGATACTGACTTTGCAAAGGTATAAATAAATGCCCCTACTGTTGTTCTTTGGGTCCTTTGCCAATCAGGCTATGGGCCACCACCTGACCTCAGCTATCACCTCATCTTTATTTTCTAAATCCTCTCAACTTTTTTTTCCCCAGGGACCATGAGAGAACAGCGAGTCCCTACAAAAAAATGATCTTGCCTGAAACTTGTTCCCTATTAACTGCCTGAAACTTTAAACCTACCTACCTACATACATACATAACTTGAGACAGGGCTATGTTCTCTAGTTCAGGCTGGTGTTAAACTCACTATATAGCCAAGGCTAGCTCTTTTAATTTTTATTTTATAAAAAAAAGTAAAATAACATTGCATAACAAAGTAATGGGAGAATAACAATAGTTAACATTTTGAGTATTACTATCTTTAAAGTGGTTACTTTATTTTTAGTTATTTTTTAATGTATTTAGCACAGGGTCTACAGGGTCTCAGTTGCTTTTGCTGTCTCAGTGTGCCCTGGGGGGTGGGGTGGGCGTGGCAGGCCAGGGATTGAACCCCCGGGTCCTGCGTCTGCCTAAGCAAGCACTTTAATCCCCTGAGCTATCTGGCTGGCCCTAAAGTGGTTGCTTTAAATTATAAGATACGAGCATAAAAAGCTCTCCAATTGATATATATTTTTTCTTTTTTTATATGTTTAGTATGGGTTCTACAGGGTCTCACTCCACAGATTGGACTTGTAGTGATCCTCCTGTTTTCAGCCTTCCAAGCACTGGGATTACAGGCATGTACCACCATGCCCAGTCTCAGTTGTCATCACAGTGTGCCCCAGGGGTGGGGCTGGAAAGGTACACTAGGGATCAAATTCTGATCCCTGTGCCTGCCTAGGCAGGCAGGTGAATATCTCAGTCTGCTGAGCTATCTGGCTGGCCCTTTCTTCAATTGATTTTTTTTGTCTGTGTGTGTGTGCGTGTGCGGTACTGGGGTTTGTACTCTGGACCCTGCACTTGCCAGGCAGGCGCTTATTCTACTGAGCTATCTCGCTGGCTCCTCCAGTTGATATCAACACGAACTGTTTTCAGTGCACTGAGACACTAGCAGATCACTAGCGTAGTTTTCCCTTTTCCCTTCCTTTCTCTTCCCCTACCCTATTTCCTTCAGAGCAACTTGTTCCCACGTCACAGTATCTATTGCACATTTTAGATCTCCTTGACCTTCAGTTTCTCACCTCAGGGAGACAGTGTGACAGTCCCACGTGAGAGTCTGATGTATTTCAGGTATGGTGTCAAGCTGCAGCCATTTACCTATATCTGTGTTCTTATTTTAAAAGTTTCTGGTATACATAAAGAATCTAAGTCAAAACTCACAAATGGTAGCTGAAATCCTGTCAACTTTCTGCCTAATACAATGTAAAACCAATTACTATGCATAAACAACTCAAAATTAGAGCTTATAATGGAAATATGAACAGGTCATAGGTGAAGCTCAGTCCCGCGGCTTCTGTACTTCAGCAGGGCATGGCAGATGTGCACATCTGACCAACATGCTGCTTAGAGAATTAAAGCTGCAAATAAAGAATACATATGGACACAGGAGTACCCAGTGCTCTCCATGAGGCACTTTCCACTGCTGAGAAAGCTATGGTTTTATAATTCATGGTTTTGTTTTGGGACAGACAATTGCTATGTAGCGCAGGCTGGCTTTGAACTTGCAGCGATCCCCCTGCCTCAGCCTCCTAAGGGCTGAGGTTACAGGTGTGCATTACAACACCCAGCTATCACTCATTTTAAAAGGGAAATTTTCCTACAGTCGCATTTAGTCATTTCACTGTACAGTTTTGACTACAACGCAGTCTTCAAGTTCTCCTACAGTGTGACACATCACAATTCCTCCAGAAAGTCAGCTTGTCATATTTATAGTAGTGTTTAGTGCCTCACAGTCTTTTTTCTTTATTTGCCTTTTAGAAATGTCATTGGTACTTATATGTCACACGAGGTGCTCACACTCGTCACACGGAATTTGCACCTGTGCACAACACGCCTTTCTTGCTTCCCTCCTCTCCCTTCAACCCTTCCTCCCCTCCACACTCCAAATGCGTGCTTCCATTTTCCCTTCCGTTCTTTTAAATCCCCTTTCCCTCCTTCCCGTCCTGGTCCCCCTTCCCACGTGAACATCGTCCTGCTTCGGGCATCTCCCCTCCACTCTGCTTCTCGTTTTACTTTAGGTTTCTCACACGGAAGAAGCAGTGTGATACTCAACCTTCTGCATCTTGTTTTCTTAACCTCACGGTCGTGAGTGCATCTGTGTTTACCTAAAAACGACTCAAGTTTATCCTTCTTTAGGTAGAGTAGAATAAGAAACATTTTCTTTACATTTTCCGAGAGTTAATGTGTATTGTGTGGTTTTTTCCTTCCTTTTTGGATCCTGGGGAGTTCCGATACTCCCAGCCGCATCCAGTTCCCGAACTGCCTGGCTCCTAAGGACCGCCTTCCAGTTCCTGAAGTGTCAAGAGGGCCTACGAACTGTACTTGGCCTAAAGGCAAAAGGAGACTTCAAGGTTCGTCCTGGACTGGAAAAGACTTAAAGAGTGTTCCGGCTCTCGGACTGCAACCACCCCTCCCCCAAGTCAGAGTCCAGCAGTCCCTGGCTGGAAGTGTAAAACCACAGCCCTGATTCCCCAGCCGCAGCTGCTGACCCTATAGTGTCATTAAGAGCTTTGGGGGATCCAAGCGGGACAAAATTGGATTCAGATTCTGGACATCTTAGTCGTTTCACTTCCGTGGACTGTGGTTCCCTTTCCCGAAAACAGGACCCATCTGCTGGACAGCAGGTAAAATGCTGGGTCCTGTTGCGACCCTGAGGGTGTTTGGAGCGAAGAATCAATTAAACTGCTAAACATCGTCCTAGGGCTGGGGCTACGGACCAGTGGCAACGAAAGCTCATGCCCAGCATGCAGGAGGGGCGGGTAAGACCCCCAGGCCTAGGAGGGCCGGAAGAGAACCAACTAGGACTGCTTCACCTCGCCAGTCCTGCAGGGGCCAGCAGACAGCGCCGGGCTCCGGGGCGGGACTAGCGCCGGCGCCGCGCACGCGCACAGCGGGAGGCCGAGTCGGACTGCGGGCGGGAGCCGAGCGGAGCGCGGCGGCGGGCTTCCGGACAGGTACCCTCTTTCGCACGGGGTCCCGGCCTCCTGGCTTTGCAGTCTGGGCCGGCTCGGGCCTGCGCGTGCGCCGTGCGTGCCCAGAGCTGGGTTTCCCTGCGGAGGCCCGGGACCCGATAGCGAGCACCACCCCACCCTCTTTCCTCCTGGAGTTTGCCGAACCCGCCTTCTCCTGCCCTCACCCCTAAACCGCCTTCCGCTCACCGGAGCCAGGGCGTGGGCGAGGGCGCTGTGGCGTGTCGTGGGAGGGGCCCCTCGGACTTGCTGGACGTTCCCCTCTCCGCGGGTGGGGAGGGGGCTGGCGTGCACCGCGCCGGGACTCAGTGTCTCCGGTTCTCCCCGCTTTGGAGAGCTCCGTGCGGGGCCCAGGCGAAGCTTTGCACCTCGTGTGCGGTGCAGTGCGGCGAATCATTTTGCTGCTTTGCCCCCAGATATTGTAACCTGACTCCTCCCTAAAGGAGCTGGAGGCGCACTGCTTCTTGTCTGAGTTCTCTGCGAGAAGGGAAAGCGTTTGCAAGCCCTGGGAGTAGGCGTACACTGCTTCCCTAGAATAGCATTCAGGGCACTAAGCGGGTTAGGGCGCTGTTTGGCACCTGGCCATGCAGCTGCTGTGAGGGTGGGGGTGATGGATGGGGGCCGTGGGGGGGGGGTCCGTCATTCCCCATACGGAAGTGTCCTTCAGTCGCTCATGTACCACTCGGTGTATCCTCAGCGTTGACCAGTGTGGGGCAGTGCGCTTGGCGCTTGGAGCTGGGAGGACAGGAAGATGAACCGAATCTGGGTTTGCCCTCAGGGCCCCAGTGGCCAAGAGGAGAGAGATTCCAGCTTGCGTAGCCCCACCCAGGTAAAGGGAAGGTGTCTCCAGAGGGGTCGCTCAGAAGTCCGCCTTTCACCCTGCTTAGTGTTAGGAGAAAAATCAAGTCCCCACATGACATGATGTTGGACAACTGCCCTGGGAGCCTCTGATCTGTAGGGAAGGGCGTTTTCCTGGGTGCTGCATGTGGGTCTTGGCCTTCCCGGCCACCTCCCCTCTCTCCACCACATGCTTCCCTCTGTCCAGTGCTCTCGTCACAGGCACCAGTGTCAGGGCTGACCGTGTCTCTCCTGATGGCCCTTCCAGGTCAGAGGGAAGCCTAAAGCCACAGCTCTGATTTCCCAACCACAGCTGCTGACCCTGTAGTGTCATGAAGAGCTTGGAGCTGTGTTCTTTCTGATTTGTCCCCAGCCCTGAGTCCCCACATCTAGCCTGCTGATTTGTGCTCCTGAAGCTCTGAGGTCACGCACCGTGCTCCACCTTCTTGCCCAATGTGCTGGGCAGGGCGCCTGGCCTCAGCTGAGCTCTTAGCTCAGGACGGCATTGCCGTAAGCCTTCACTCCTGCAGCCAGGATGCGGTTGCTGGAATCTAAACCTAACTGTGAGGCTCATCTGCGTCATCCCACTGCTTTCAGGACAGTAGCCAGGCTCCTGCTGTGGGAGGGCTCCCTGTGGGCGCAGCCCTGGAGTGTCTCCCCAGCCCTCTCTTCTGAGGTGCCCGGTGTGGCTCACTCAGCACCTTCCTCCTCCTGCCACTGTGCTGTAGGACCTCCAAGACCAGAGCTGGGTCTAGAGCTTTGCTTGGCTTTTTACTGCTGTGACAGAGAAGGTGCTCAGCGAATGTCAGTGAACTGAATTGAGTTTGAGTGTCGGTTGTGATCTGGTGTGACTCACCGAGTGCCCAAGGTGCAAATTCACCCCACCTCTGTTTGCTTGGCATGCAGAAATAGAGAGAGCCTGGCCTACATCAAGCCCAAATCTAGGTAAAAGAGAAGGTAGCAGCTGCTACTGGAGCAGCAAGTGCCTGGGAGGCCTGTCTGTGTTCGAAATCTTGGCCTTGCTGTGTGACTGGAGCATTGCCTGCCTGCTCTGTGCCTCAGTTTTGTCCCCTGGAAAAGGGTGGTAGTCAGTACTTGGTTTGGGATCCATTTCTTCCTACGCATCAGATCTCTCACTGCTGCTGCTTGGGTGCAGGTGAGCTCGCCTGTACTCTTCCTGTTCTCAGGCTTCTCCTCCTCAGAGGCTTCCTCACAGGAAGTTGTCCCCAGTCTGAGGTGAGCTAGATGCCTCTTTTCCACTCTGAGTCACTTTCTTACTGGTTACTATGGGGAGTAAAACTGTGGTGAATCTGACTGGTGAGCAGTGCGAAAATTGAAAGAAATCCACAAGAAAGCTCGTATGTCATTTGTGGTGGATGGAGAGCTGGTGGTCAGCTTGTGACGCCCAGCTGAACAGAACTAGCGCAGTGCTGGGTGGGGGAGGCCCACCTGAGGGTTGTTGCTGGCAGTGTAAGAGGCAGAACGGGTGAGGCTGTCTGGAGAAGCTGCTGGAGGCCGCTGGCTCATCTGGGCTGATCTGCTGGAGGACCTTAGCATGCTGGCTTTCCTGATGAGTTGGCTGTTCTTGTTGGAGGGGGAGCTCAGGACCTCATTGTCCCTGGGGATGGCTGTGGTACTTTTGGGGGAGCTCTGGTGCTTGCCTTGAGCATTGTTTCTTGGCTCCAGTGCAGACCCCTCAGCCTGCTGGCAGATCTTCATCCCTCGGGCAGTGGTCTTCCTAGCTTCCACCACTGCCTTTGGGGCCTCCCAGTGCATGTCCATGAAGCGGACCTGCA